GAGGGAGCAGAAGGTGTCCATGCCTGGAAAGGAGACAGGGGTGAGCATGGCAGCTAGGGCTGTCTGCCCTGGGGGCTTGAAGGCCTTGTCTGAAGGGCCAGAGCAGAAGGCACTGGGCTAGGAAGTAGGTGCAAGGAGCACGGGGAAATGCTCTGCAGCCAAGTATGGAAGAAGTTTACAGAGAACCTGAAACCAGAGAGATGCTGTGAATATGTGCAGATGTCAGAGGTGCTGCCCTATAAGAGCTGCTGCAGAAAGCAGGACAGCTGTGTCTGTAACTCAGCTCAGCTCCAGCCTTGTCATCTATAACCAGCCCATCTGGGCTGAGCTCTTGTCCCCTTTGAAGGCAGATGGGTGGGAACAGAGCTGAGCCAAGCTGTGCTCGGCAGGATGGCTCTCAGCCGGGATGGGTGAGGGGGAAGGCAGATCTCACCCCTGTGACTGTGCCCTCAGTCAGCCAGTCTGTGTAATTCCCTGTGACAGTTCAATGCAGAGCAAAGCCAGCAGCTTGGCAGCAGATGCATGAAAGGTGAGTGCTGCTCTCTCTGGCACACTGCCTGGGGAGCCTGGGGGCAGGGAGCAAACACTGACCACAGGTTCTTCCCTGCATTGATGTCCTCTTGGGCCTGCAGTTCACCCTGACCTCTACAGCCCAGTCCTGCCAAGCACATCGAGCCCATGGTAGAGCCAGGGCAGGTGCGATTTATTTGCTGGCTGGCTGCTGCCGCACAAATATGGGTGGCATCCTAAAGGACTTTGGTGGAGCAGGGAAGGGGATGCCAGCTCTGCACATATGCACAAGCTGGGATGCCAGTGTTGCCAGCAGCATCCCACAGAGTCTCATGATGGCAGCTGGAGGGGAGCTGTCACTTGTTCCAAGGCCACCAGGGCAGGGAGTCGAGGGCAGGGTCCTAGGAGTCAAACCCTTAAGTGTGTGCACCCTTGTCCCCAACATGCTCCCAAGTGCATGCACACCTGTGCACACCCCTGCATGCATAGGTGGCACCAGCAGTGGGCTCAGCACTCCCACTCCATCCCTCCAACAAGCTCCCACACTGCTTTTTTTGGTGCTTAATCCATTGGTTTAACTCTCAGACCCTGCATGGCAGCAAGTTTGTTTGTCCCAGGATTTTTTCTTTTCCCCCTGGCATCCTCTGGAACTGGAGAAAGGTATTATGGGAGCTGTGTCCCCTGGCCCTGGACAGCCTGCTGGGTGCTGGATAAAGAATCCACAGGCACCCAACTTTAGGACCTTCTCCAGCTGCTGTGTGGAGTGTGGGGGTCCCCATGGAGAGCATTTCAAGCACACACAGGGCAATGGGGGGGCTGCAAGGATGGGAACAACCTCTCAGCCCTATAGCTCTGGTGGGAGGCACTTACTGAGGTACATGATCAACCTTCTTGTTGCAATTAACGCTCATATTCTAACGGGTGGCAATGAGCAGGGCACAGGGGTGTACACACATACGTAGAGGGGGGGGTGTGCAATAGTGGCAGCTGCTGTCTTACCCCCGTGCAGGCTGCCCACAGCCCACCATGCCCTCTGCTCAACACCACATTGCACCCCAACCTCCCACCCACCTCACCCTCTCCCTCCTTCCCAGGCAGGATGCAGGTTCGGGGCCTCCTCCTCCTCCTGGTACTGATCCTGCTGGCTGCCACCACTGAGGCTGGCAAAACCAAGAAAGGTGAGGGGGCAGCTTGGGGCAGGGAGCCAGTCGGGTGGGGGCAGCCTGGGATGTGCTCTTCTGTCCTTGCAGAGAGCACCCACTCCTCTTTTCCTCACAGAGAAGGCAAAGAAGGATGGCTCCAAGTGCGAGGATTGGCGCTGGGGACCTTGTATTCCCAACAGTAAGGACTGTGGCCTGGGCTACCGTGAGGGAACTTGCAAAGATGAGAGCAAGAAGCTCAAGTGCAAGATCCCCTGCAACTGGAAGAAGAAATTTGGAGGTGGGTACATGGAGATAGGGTGGCTGGGGACCATGCTGGGGTGGGTGACGGGGGCTGGTGCCCACACCGGGTCCTAACTAGCTCTGATGTCTCTCCCCTCTCATCCAGCTGACTGCAAGTACAAGTTTGAGAGCTGGGGAGGGTGTAGTGCTCAGACAGGCTTGAAGACTCGCTCAGGCATCCTGAAGAAAGCCCTGTACAATGCCCAGTGTGAGGAGATCGTCTCTGTGACCAAGCCCTGCTCTTCCAAGATCAAGTCGAAGTCCAAAGGTCAGTTCTCACTACTCCTGTCCCTAGAAGGGTCCTGCTGGGACCCTAGGCAAGGGTTTTTTAGAGGTATCTTGGCCCACTGGGGTTGAGCTTTGCTGGTGGTGCGGGGGATTACATAGGTTGTTCTTTCCTTTGCAGCTGCACATGTGACAACCCCAAAGTGCAGCTGCTGGCTGGGTGGGATGCAAGTGCTGCTAGGAAAAACCCTGGTACCCCCGCAAGTCACTGCCGGTTTTGGTGGGATGGGGATCCTCTGCTCTCCTCCCTGGGACTGGTGAAAAACATGGTTTTACATGGTGGGTGGCCTCCTGCCAGAATGTGGCCGCTGTGCTGTGCCATGCTGGCTGTGCTGGCTACATTTCTACCACAGCTCTGTCTGGGGGACCAGTGAGCTTCCAGCAGATACATTAACTCTTGTCTCCTGTTCTTCTCAAATGCAGCAAAGAAGGGCAAGGGGAAGGACTAGAACAGGAAGCCATCATCTTCATCGGCCCCTCAACATCGTGCCTACAGGACTGGATGCCCAGCTGCAGCTGGCCCATGCTACAGTCTTCCTTCTCCTCTCCTTCCTCCTTTCCATGACCTCCTGTTTCACTGAGATGCCTTGTTTAATCATTAGTGTTGTAGACAGCAAACCCATCCACCCACCCTACAGGAGAGGCTGCTTCCATCCTTGCTACCCCACTGCCAATGCCTCTCACTCATCTCCTCTCAGCTGGTGTTGGGGTTCACTGGGATGCGCCCAGAGAGCTGGGATGGGAACACACATTTTTCCACCCTTCAGCACAAATGAGTTGCCTTTAGCACATCCTTTGGCAAGTCCAGGAGCCTTATTGTTCCTCCACCAGCTACCAGTGACAGAGGGAAGGGGTGGGTGTTGAATGCCAGAGTAGCCCCATTACTCATGCCCCTTACTCACTTGAGGACTGCTCTCAGCTCAGGAGGCTTATTCTAGCATCCCTTTGGCTAGGGCACGAATTACCTGCAGCTGAGGTAAACACAACCATCACCCCCAAGAACCACTGTGTCTCCTCTCCTCTATCCCTTCTAACCATGTGTGTTCACATTGGGGCTGCAGCCCCTCTGCCTTTGCCACACCAACACTGGTGCTGGGTGGGAGCTCTCACTCCTTTTGGAAATGGGGTTTGTTTTCTTTTCCAATAAAAATCTTTTTTTAAAAAGTATCAGAACCAACCTGTTGACCCCATGAAGTGCTGCTGTGCTGGAAACCCCAGCAAACCCCAGCTTTGCTGGCCACACTGGGACCACCAGTGAAGTTACCATGCAACTGGCGGTGGTTGCCTGGGTGCCACATGAGCATGGTCCTGGAGAAAACACATGGGTCAGACCTCACAGCCTCTTCTCAGCAGTGCTTCAGGCTGCCCCACCTTAACCTCGGCAGAAGGGATGGAGCTGCCACCCACACTGCAGGAAATGTCACCGGTAGTTGACACTGGGAAGTTGGGAAGGAGCACACAGGTGATGACTCATTTACTCCTCATGCTGTGGCTGTTGTTTTCTGATCCAAGGTCTTTATTTGTCTTGGGATGGGAGGGGTTGGGCCACAATTGTAACCATTTGAATATACCCAGAAGCCCACCAGGCATTTTGGGCACACCTGTGTGAATGATCCTAAAGGCAATGGTGGAGGGGTTTCCATCTGGGTTGGGTCAGCCTTTCTCCAGGTTACACAGCATCATCCTGGTGTGAGGATGGGAAAGAAATATGGACATGAAATTTGCCAGTGCTAGAGTGGCCCTGTCCCATTCCTTGTCTACACCTGGCTGTGTCCACCAGTGCTTCCGGAAACCTGGCTTTGGAAGAAGCTGAGCAGCAGTCCCGGGATGGCCTGGGTTGCACGCACAGAGGAGCTGGGAGGAGGCTGGGACACTGGCTGAAGCCCGCATGCTGAGGGCTCTGCCACAACACCCACGACAGCATTACATCCATTTACAAAGCTCAGCAACTGGCTCCTTCAGCCTCCCTGGAACATCCTGCTGCACCCCGGGCAGGAGAGGGCCACTGCCATCCTCTCCCACCTGCAGACCCATGCACCAGGCCTCCCACACCCACCATGGGGAGACTGGGGACCTGCTCATGGTCCAGATGAGATACAGGGCAACTCGGCCACATTGTAAACTCTCTTCCCATTTGCCTCCAAGGCCCCCAGGTCCCACCTGTCCCACTCAAGGACAGTTAATTTCACAGTCACTGCTGCCCACTTCTCAGGGGCCACATTCCCCGGGCTGTGGAGCTAACTCCTGCACCACACCACTGCTTTTCTTTGCAGTTTTAGTTTCCATCACCGTAGGAGGTGACTGGGCTTCGCACTCCTCATGCAGGAGTGAGATACTTGGCTTGTTTGTCCAGCCACTTGCTGGCTGAAGGGAGAAAGGGCATGAAAAGGACAGTGGAGCCAAAGTCTAGGGAAAAATTCTGCCCCCGGTCCCTTCATGAGGATGTCCGATGGCACTCTCAGGAGAAATGAAGGAGCTTGCCACATGTTAGAGTACAATCTTGCCTTCCTTGGGAGGGGGCCTGGCTGGGCCAGCAGGGCTCCCTATTAGCATGTCTGAGCCAGCCTGGTACAAGATGTCTAGCAAATGTTTGGCCCTGGTTTCTTTTCATTCCTTGGGTAATAAACACTTTAAAAGCCCATTGAAAGCATCCAGCATTAGCCCATCTGCATGCAGACAAGCTCTGATGTCCTGGAGAACAGTCAGCCAGAGGAGCAGTTGCATCCAGTCTTAGGAGAAACACTGAT